TCCCCAGAATAAGCACACCAAACCAAATCTGTTCCAAGAAGACTGATCGAAGCCCTGGTGCATGTCGCTTCCTTTGCTATACACTGAAGTCTTTTTTTACACGGTTTTTTTACGCGGTTTTTTTTACACGGTTTTTTTTACACGGTTTTCCACGATTTACACGGTACGTTTTTAACGATTTCTCGACAACGATACAACCTATCGACTTGATTCCAATCACATTATCCGTTTCAAGCTATAGGTAATCGAATGACATACTTAAAAAAAAAAATCACAATTTTCGGTGTAAATACAGAAATTTTTAAAATATGTCTATATGGACCATATCATGCTTTAATTACAAATGGCATCAAAATCCGATTTTTTTAAAACATTTAAGCATGCGAAAAATCAAAATCTCGTAGGTTTTTTTTTACACGGTTTTTTTTTTACACGGTACGTATCCCCCGTGTAAAAAAAGACCTGAGTGTACCCCGTCGGATGGATTCCGGAAAGCTGGATGTGGTTCTTCATCCGTGGCGTTGACTATGGAACAGTACAACAACGATAACAACTGCGAGGTGGGGGTGGAACTGTTCAATCGGCTGCAAGCGGAGGACGGCTACATGGAGATTAGCGGGGATTTAAAAAAAAAATCGATTTCCTTGAGGTGAACAGCTTCGAGGTGTCGAATGTGATTTTGTGGTATGCCAAGGGGAAGGTTCGAAGGGGCTACGGATCGGGTTTAGGTTGTTGAAATGTATTTAGGTATACCTTGATGTAACGTAACTGTCACTTTTGACTTCCATCGCTGATTTCTAACTAACAATCATTAAATCAAGTAATGTAATAACACCATCGAAGATCTGAGACAATCCTTCATCTATTTTTCATGCCAATTTGAATGATTGATTTTTTATTTGAGAGATATCGACGATGAAAGTTAAAAGTAACAGTTACTTTATGTTGATGAATACCTGTATTGTTAGACGAATAAAACATAAAACAATCAGAGTTGGTTGGAAATGCTAACATGAAGCTTTAGTGTGATAATTTATTAGCTAGAGAATGATATTAAGAAGAGGGCAGGTGGATAGTTCCGTTAGAGTACGGCAGTATGAAAATTGAATAGAAGTTGAAAATGAGCGAAGGGCCATTAATGCGACAGTTTTGAAAACGTCGCTAGAACTTCACGTATCACACTAAAGCTTCATGTTAGCATTTCCAACCAACTCAGAAAATCGCTAACTTCACGTATGAAGTAACATAAAAACACTTTGAATAAAACAATGTTTAAAGAAAGCCTATCTAAAATGTCGAAGGGGTGGGGGGTAATATAATATTTATTGAACGAATCCTAAGCATGGTGAGCACCATGCCTGTGGAATTGACCCATGTAAGCCGTGATTTCCGATATTGTCGTTACCGAAAACGACAATCAATTGTTGCAATCACGTTGGTTGCAATAGTGGATGACCCTGAGGGTGATCAAGTTATTGCTGTTGCTGGTTATGATCTCGGCACTGCTATTTATCACCACAGTTTAACAACTCTTGCAGGGAATTAGACGAAGGCTAAGGGGTATTCAACTCTGCACACCTTAATCTGTGGCAAGAGTTTTGGCAGTGCCGAAAGCTGTGCCAAGCGTTGTGCGAATCATTCCGAAGTAGGTCTCAATCAAGATGTCAATATATCATGAGTTTGGCTACCCTGAAGTTAGACTTTTGTGAATGTGTTTACATAGTAAGCTTCATTCTCATTAGAATGAGAGCAGATTCGACAGTGGAAGAGGAATACAACCTATACGACCCGTCCACAAGAAACGGACGGTGGACGAAACCCAGAACTCGAACGGACGAAAGTTAACTCCCACCCTAGAAACAACATCCTCGAAACAGTTCTGATCGACTCAGAACTACGCAACTTCGAAGACATCACTCAAGCCTATCGTATCGCCGATTGTGATGTCTCCTACTATCACCCAATTGCACACGTTCAAGCCTATCAAGTTCACGATCCTTTGCAGATGTGATACCTTCCACAAGGTACTACCAATCAAAACCAATGGCCAATGTACCACCAGTGAAAACCATCAAATGTCCCCCCACTTCAATCTGTCATACCTCGGAAATGGTGCACGATCCAGATAAACTTCGCATCTGCAGTTCAACTGTACCCTGTGGTAGTTGTTGTTCATCTGCACGCCCATGGGATCTTGCCGAACAGCAAATTACTTAGTCTCATCATGCGTCATGCATTTTCGAGATTGAGCAAGGCTTTATAATTGATTGATTGGTAGATATTTGGGGTTAATAGGGTAAATGTTGGCTTCGGCACCCATTGACTGTTTTCGGCAACCAAAATTTAAACGTTAATTTCACTATGTTTTCCCATCAACGCACTTCCCTGAAAGTGTCCAAACGATTGTTTAGCCTTTCAGCTTCAATCTGATTATATTTGAACGATCGAGCAATCCAGTAATGCTACATTTTTCTTCAAATAAAGCATACGCACTACAAAATGGGGTTGATTTCGAGTTGCCGATAATAGAACAGCTGGTTAACACGCAGTTCTAATGGGAAGGTTGCCGAAGAAAAAGAGGCTGCCGACAATAGTCCCACTCACCTGAGAAGTTTGGAGCGTTGTAAAAACGCTTTCAAAACGTTTTGAAAAATTCTGTCGATTGGAATGGATAGAGAAGCAAGCAGCAGATGAATGTAAACAAACAGACACATCATATATGTGCGTGACGCTGAGAAAATGATAGTAGAAGTGCAGACGCTGCTTAGATTGACGAGAATACGTAAATTCCCCTACGTATCGACATCCCCCAATAAGTACTGGAGCTTGTATAGACATCCCTATAAAGTCCTGTGTATTTCCCATCGAAGTCCATACCAATTGAAACCAATGACTGGCAAGCATACCTAAGGAAAAAACGATTAAATTTTCATCACGGAAGACCCTTGGCAAGACCGGGATTCAAACCTGGCCGAAATACAAAACCCATCACCCACACCCCCTATGATGTGTTTATCGATCTTTATCGTTCGTTGTGCATGTAAAACAAAACAAAAATCCTCCGCAGCTGGCACAATATTGTCGTCGTTCAGAGTGCCGTCGTATTGGATGATCTTACAGGCATTTGACCAAGTATAGCTGGAGCGAACCCATTTTGGCCATCTTGACTGTCGTATTGACCCTCTCGACCGACCATGGTGTAGGAGAACGCTGTTGGCGTGAAGCTATTCTGGACGAAACCACGAGCCGCTGGGATTTTTGCTATGAATCGGATGAGATAAATTTAGTTTCATGGTGCAGACAGGTGCAGGCAATACTCACAGCATTTTTCCTTGGAGTCCGAGCCCAATGTGAAGACCAATGGAGTAAACAAAAAAGTCAACCTTAGCAACGATTGGCAAAACGTCAACTCTCGACACTGATGACGTTTTATGTGTAGCCTACTTGTCAACGTTTGTCCTAAGGATCCGAATTGTGTGCCATGCTGTGTTTCGGCACAGTGTGCAGAGTTGATTACCCCTTGGATAATTTATTAAAATAAAATGAAACGCTTATCATTTTATTTTGTTTTATTCGATCGCCCGACATGAAGTATTTGCGTATTCTAATCTAATACAAAAGCAGCCAGTACGAGAAAGCATCCTGGAAAATGATTACGTTAGATGACGCCTAATAATTTTTCTTGTCAATATTGATGTTGGCAGCAAATCTGAGATATGATACAGACATCGGCCAGGTCTACTGCGTTGCATTTGCCGCAAAGATGTTTCTGTGAATCGCTTCGAAGTAAATCTTTTTTAACAGCGATTCATTTCTTGAATCCTCAGGGCTAAAAGGATACATGGACATAGCGTACCAAACGCCCTGAGTTAGATAAATGTAAGTCCATATATAATATGTCATGTAATAAATGGTATATAAAATGATAATAATGGAAAGATCTCACCATATGAATCCAATGTATCCAGGAATCCTGTCCAGCGGAAAAACTGAATTACAGATCCAACGAGTGGAATACTGCACTTGAAAATAAGCTTCTTTCGATCACAAAAACAAAAACTATTCTTGAAACAACATATCGATTGTCAAAATTGGCAAAGCACTGTCAGATAAAACTTGGAAAACCGCGACGAAAACATAATATACGAGCAATTTGACAGCAGCATTTTTTCGCGACCTTGCGTATTCGTACGCTTTCTTGATTAAACTAATTTCGAACCCTGATCATGTTTGATCGGAACAAACATCTAAGAATCTTGTAGCTAAAGATCTCGAAGCTGAAGATCGGACGGATGCTTCGAAAATATCTAGATCTGATGAAAAACCGTAAAAATCTTCTTCATCGGTTTCTATGGATCGTTCATGATGTTGCATTACCAATGGAATGGTACTGCTGTAATCATCACTATTGTATGAATCCAAGGGCATAGCCAGGTTTCGAGCTAGGGAGGGGCGAAACAAATATTTACTTTGGAAAATTTGAACGAATGCCATTTTACCGAACGCCATTTCACCGAAAGCCTTTGTGTTGCTGAGTACGAATCGCTATCCCTTTAACAATTTGATGGTGTACTATAGTGTAAAATTTGTAACACTTAATAAGACTATTTCCTTTAAAACATTTTTTTATAGAGTCAATACACAATTAAAATGATAAAGAATAAATATTTACATTGGAATGCAAACATTCCAAGACTCTGTGAAATTCCTTACAAAAAAAAAGCTGAAAAACTTGCTGCTATCCCATTGTCATCGAAAATTTGTTTAAAATTATTAAAGTATAGTTAAGTATATTGTTTAAATGTTACATTATTCATTTACAGGTTTATTCACTTCTCAAGAAAGTTCATTTCGACTAGATGAGCCGTTTTCGTGCTATGATTAACTGACAAATTAAGCGTGTGTCAAAAAAAATCTGAAATTCGTTTATTTTTTCGCTATTTGCCGAAGATTTTCTCAATAAGCACTGTAATGACAAATCCAAAATTCTAAATTTCCAGGTGTGCTGTGCTGTCGTTGCCGTCAACCCGGGTGTCCGTTTGTCACTCCCGAAGCCACCCTATTGCGGAGCAGATTTCAGCGACCGGATCTTCGGTGGTCAGAAAACCCTCCTGGATGAGTTCCCCTGGACCGCCTTGATCGAGTACCGCAAACCAAACGGACAGACCGGATTCCACTGTGGTGCCTCGTTGATCAACTCCCGGTATGTCGTCACGGCGGCCCATTGCATCAAGGCGATTCCACGTGGTTGGCAAGCGTAAGTTGCTGCATGCTTTCCAATTTTGGCGGTGACATTTATTTGAATGCTTTACTCAATTGACAGGATCGGTGTCCGTTTGGGCGAATGGGATCTGAACAGCGACAATGACTGTTTGGACGGCGATTGTGCTGATGTGCCGGTCAATATGGGCATCGAAAAGATCATTGTGCACGAAAACTACGATCCGAATAACAAGGCGCAGTACAACGACATTGCGCTAATTCGGTTCACCAGGGATGTACATACGTCTTCGTTCATTTCCCCGGTTTGTTTACCCATAGACAATGTACATCGTAATCGCAATAACGTAGGCACCAAGGGATGGGCCTCAGGATGGGGACGAACAGAGACAAGTGAGTTCTTGTCGTGTGATTAACTATCGGAATTGTTTTATACATTAACTGATCGTTCAAATTTTACAGCCAGTGCAAGCAATTTTAAGCTGAAGGTTGAACTTGAAATCCAGGATCTGACGAGCTGTTCCAACATATATAGACCATCTGGAATCGCTCTCAGGGATACGCAGATTTGCGCGGGAGGAGTTCGCGGTCAAGATACTTGCAGTGGTGACTCTGGCGGTCCGTTGACGAAGCTGATAACTTCAAATAACTTCCTGTACGGCATCGTGAGCTTTGGACCGAACAAATGCGGAACCAAGGGCGTTCCGGGAGTGTACACCAGCGTAGCCAAATATGTCGATTGGATCGAGAGCAAAATGGAATAGGATGATTTAGTAACTGGACGTTCCTCCATGCTGGTAGATGTTATATTTTGAAATATTTCCGTAGATGATGTGGATATATAACAGTTTGAGGTAACTTTACACCGTTGTGGTCAAACTCGTGGAATCCGAAAAATCCATCGTAAAATAAAGATACTGAACACAATCCTCTGCCAAGAAAGAGCGATGCTGAAACCACCACCATTGGTTCCATTGGTGGTGTCAGCACTGTAGTCTACAGTTTTTATGAATAATCATGCCTAACATTTTGAATTTTGCATGATTGGCACTGCTTACACTTTGCATGATTGGCACTTATATGAAGTTTTACGCAGCTCCTCAAAATGCTATGAAATTCGCAAAACTTCTACAAAGTTTGCTGCACTTCTGCGTTTCTCGTTGATTTTCCGCGAAGTTCCAAGAACGAAGTTTCTTGAATTTTTACGTAATTTTCTCAAAAAAAGATCGACGCATAAGATATTTGATTTATCTCAAGTTCACGATTTTGAAAGAATATCAGAAATAACCAATTCGAATATTACTATAATTTTGAATAATAATCCACATCTCAGCTCGCAAGGAATGGGGAAAAGGGCGATTCAAAACAGTCTGCTAGACAAGCGAGCTCGCGCATTAGGAGGGCGGTTGCATTGATTGGAAAATAATAACGAGCCGCCCGAAAGTTTCGTTCCGGAGTGAGACCATTCTGGAAGCAATATCCTAGTTCAGATCGGCCATTCTACGTTTCCTCGCTAGATCCCCGGTTCTTTGATACTGGCGTCTACCTATATTTCTCAGGCTAATCGAGAGTTGGGTGTGGGAATCAATGGCAATGAACTTACCCCTCACAGGAACTCGTCGGATAGACACCTCGTCGGCCACGGTTATGGCTTGGTGGAGTCCCTCCAACGCTCGGTCGGTGTCCTCCACGGTGTCAAATGGCGGGTGGTTGCCTGTTGGACAAGCCGGTATTTGTCAGGAACAGGTCTAGAGTCGATGGGTTGCTCGCTGGTGAGATGAATGTTGGCTCGTCCGAGAAGCAAACGGAGTACAGCCCATGCGAGCGTTCAGATCTCCTCCAACAACAAAGCGGGAACCGGTACGGGTGATGGTGAACAGGTCCTTCTTGAATTTAGCCGCTAGTCCACTGCTGGCGGCACACTATCGAGGGCAGTAGACAACGATGAACTGGACGTATCCCGTCAACTACTCCACCTCCACACCAAGGGTCTCGATGATAGAGGTGCGGACAGACTGCGGTATTTTATCTCTTTTCTGACGATGATCGCAACACCACCCCCCTGGAGCTCAAGCCGAATGATGTTGTGGTTCGACAATAAGCAACTGTCGCCGAACTTGAGGTGTCCAGATTCTGGACAACACGCCCGAAACTTTCATTTCGGAGTGAGTCCATTCTGGAAGCAATCTGCCTGTTCAGATCGGCCACTTCACGTTTTTTGCCCAGATCTCCAGTCCTCTGAAACTGGCGTCTACGAACATTTCTCAACCGAATAAGTAATTGGGTGTGGGAATCAATAGCAACAAACTTACCCCTCACAGGAACTTGTTGAACACACGCCTCGTCAGCCACGGATATGGCCTGTTGGAGTCCTTCCAACACCCGGTCGATGTCAGCTACAGTGTCGAGCAGTGGATTTTCATCGGTGTTGCTGTCCACCATTCGTCCGTACTGCACCCAGTTGACATGGTGGTAGTCTTTACGCAGGCAGCTTCTAGCAGGAACCACGTTAACACCGACTTCAGTCACCACCGGTTGGTGGTCGGAGCTGAGATCGTTGTGCGCCTCTGACTTGGATAGTCCGATGTTTGACAGGAAAAAGTCCAGCGAGGAGGGATTTCCCACCGGAGAGATGAAAGTTGGTTCGTCTGGAAATTGCACAGTATACAGTCCATGTTGTGCGTGATCGAACAATAGACATCCGTTCCGGTTCCTCTGGTAGTTCCGCCAAGCTTCATGGCGGGCATTCAGGTCACCCCCAACGATGAATCGGGAGCTAGTACGGGTGATGGCGGTCAGGTCGTTCTTGAATTGAGTTTCTAGTCCATTGTTAGCGGTGCACTGGCGTGGGCAGTAAATAGCGACAAACCGGACGTTTCCAGTTGGTGATTCCACCTCCACACTAACGGCCTCGATGATAGAAGTGCGGACGTGGGGCAGAGTGCAGAACTTGATTCCCTTTCTGACGATGACCGCTACACCACCCCCCTGGAGCTGGTGCGATCAAGCCGGATAATGTTGTGGTCAGGCAACCAGAAGCTGTCGCCGGACTTCAGATGGGTCTCGGTTAGAAGGCCCACGTCGATGCTGTGCTTGCGGAGGAAGTCGGCAAGCTCAATCTGTTTTGCTTTTACAGAGCAAGCGTTCCAGGTAGCGATGGTTAGCGGTTTAGACACCATACTGGATGATGAACTTACCGAGCACTTGGATCTGTTCGGGTTTATTGCGGCACTTACGAAGAGCACCGGACATGTTGACGAAAATTTCCATCAGTTCATCCGCTGAGAACAGATCGGGGTTGTTGTTTTGCGCTGGTGGTTGTCTCCAGAATCCAGGGGGGATGGAGAGCTTTGGCCAGCAGTATCACCAGAAGTTGCTTGAGCGGAATGCACCCGCGAATTCTCTTGCCTTTGCTGAGGAGCATGAAGAGGCGGAAATCCTCCGTCCGAAATGCCGGGACTTTGTCCTTCTTGCGTCCTGGTTGGTTGTTAGTTGCCGCCTGTTTTCGGATGCGTTTGAAGTCCTCGCGTTTGGAGCACTGTCTGTCGGAACTTTGGTGAGCACCACCACAGTTAGCGCATTTTAACCCCATGGCTCCATCCGCAGGGCAGTCGGAAGTGGCGTGGTCTTGAGCGCAATTGCCACAGCGTGGCTTAATGTTGCAGTTGCGGGTGCCGTGTCCAAAGTTCAGACACCGTTGGCACTGAGTCACAGCACGATGGCCGCCACGGTATGGCTCCCAGCGGACGATGATGGAATTGATGGAGCGGATGGCTTTCAGCGCGTTGAGCGTCACCGTTCCCTTCTGGAAGTGTACCAGGAAGAGGCTATCCGGATACGCCTTTACATTCTCGTCTCTTCTTGTCATTCGATACACGGCACTTGGGGCCAGCTTGTACCGGTCCCTGATTTCAGCTTCGATAAACTTCGGGTCGAAGTTTGGTAGGCCCCTGATGACGACCTTGAATGGCTTCTCACCGGGAATGTCGTGGATAAAGAATTCCACCTTGGAAGTCCTCAGGTGGGCGACGGCCAAGTCATACTCCGCTTTGGTACGGAGCACCACCTTGGTGCCGACTCTGCTCAACACCGAACTGAACTGCTTGACGATCAAGCAGAGAATGATGAGCAGAGGCATGAGAGCAGCGCTGATTTATATCTTTTCATGTTCAAGCAGAATGATGTGCAACCAAGTGGTATAAAAGCTACAAAGACTCCTCCCATTATGAGTAGTTTGCTATCAAGTAGCGACACTGGCTCTTTTCCTTTTGCGTACACGGTGCATGGGAACGACCCAGATTTGAGTTTAGTTCACTCATAATCGCCAAAAGTGCAGAAACTCAGCGATGAGTAAATTTGTCTCATGGTTTCCTGTGGAAAACCTTAAAAATCAGCCAGAAAATGAGGAAATTGACGAAAATTTTATTCAGTCTCGGAGTAGTACCAATAGACTGAGTGAATCCAATCTTTACTTTTCTCAAATTCGGGAATTTTTACCTGGAAAATCCTGGAAAAACCTGGGAAAACATGAGAAACTCATCGCTGAGTTCCTGCACTTTATTTCTTATTTCTGAGATAACTAACTCAAATTTGGGTCGCTCTCATGCGCCGTGATATCACCTTGAAAGATACCGGCGCCATCTACACTCTCTTTCGTAAATAACTCGGCTTCACAAATGTTTCCTGTCGTCTTCGTTGAATTAGATGATAGATTGTTGCTTCTTCCATCGAAAATATCCGGCCCTGGCGATTCAAAGTTGATCAAGGTTGATCAAAATAATTTGTACCCCTGCTTCCAGTTTGATTACATGAGCATTTTGTGTGATCGTTGGTTCTGAATATGGACAAACAGGCAGATGAATTCTATTCCTACTCTTCACTGTAATAAGCTTGGTGGCCCTGAAAAGAGCCGTTTTGTTGCCAAAGTTGGTGATGATTTAACCTCCGAAACCAACCAGAGTGCGTCTCTGTCACTTCAAAACGTAGATGGCATCCATGGCAGCTTACGATTGGCGTGTTTAGTTTAGGTGACAGCATCACGGATCTCATTTTTCAGGAACACCTTCATCACACCTCGTAGATCAAACCGGAGCTACGTCAGACACCGCCACGGCGAGTCAGACGACGGATGGTGGTTATCTCGAAGAATTTGCGTTTGATTCTGAATATGGCGATGAGTGTGCAAAATATTACGCAATTCCATCCTCCCTATTCATTCGGTTTTCACAAGGTGTACCTCCATATAGAAATCAAAGACGTAGTCCTACGTAAAAAAAAACATTTTTTTTTCCCTTTGGTTTGTTTTTTCCGTCGATCTTGTTTTCCGTGCTGAGCACCAATGCTACCGACGCCAGGAAGGCAGCTTCCACACCTGGACCCTACCTATCGACCCATCAACTCATGAACCGGGGACCAACGGCTTTACTTACCATCCGAAGGAAGGCGTGATCAGAGATGTTACGCCTCAGAACATTTCGGCGGCGCCGACTGAGATTGAACCCAGGCCTGCTGGGGTGAGAGGTAATCACGCTTACCACTACACCACCGGCGCCGTTAAAAAAAAAAAAACACATTGTTTTACCTGAAATGAGCATTTGCAACCTTGCACTCAGGTCATCATCGATGCAATTATTGTCGGTCAGGCGAGTCAGAAAAAGAGATACCTGAGCATGGCGTACATCGACTACAAGAAGGCGTACGACTCAGTACCGCATTCGTACCTTCTCAATGTATTGCTGTTGTACAAGGTGGACGATGGAGTCATAAGGCTTATGAAGCACGCAATGGGAATGTGGAGCACATCTCTCCACGTTAGTGACGGAGCAGTGGTGTTACGGTCCAGAACTCTCAGCATAAAAAGGGGTATTTTCCAAGGCGATACCTTCAGTCCACTATGGTTCTGCCTTGCGATGAACCCCCTCAGCAGAGCACTCAATCAATGCAACTATGGCTACCATTTGAAAAGTGGAGGAAGAAGCATAAATGTTACCCACACCTTCTACATGGATGACTTGAAGCTGTTTGCGGAAACAGTGGAGAAGCTGCACCGTCTCTTGCAGCTTGTAACGGTGTTCAGTAATGACATCCGGATGAATGTCCAACAGTCAATATCCGTCGGGGTCAAGTAGTGGATACTGGCAGTTTCCGCATCAACGAACAGGAGGAGATTCGGAATATGGTTGAAAGCGAAACCTATAAGTACCTGTGGTTCCTGCAACTGGAAGGGATTCGCCATACAACGATCAAGAAGGAGCTGCAGGAAAAGTTCTTGTATCGAATCAATCGTGTTCTGAGGTTGTTCCTGTCGGCCGGCAACAAGATAAAGGCGATAAACACGTTTTCCGTGCCCCTGTTGACCTACAGCTTTGGGGTGATCAAGTGGACCAAAAACGAGCAGTACGAGTGGCGTTCACTAAGCATCGCATGCAGCACCCAAAGTCGGCCGTCGAGAGAGCCACCTTGCCACGTAATGAAGGAGGAAGAGGCATCACTGATATCCAAGCGCTATGTGTTTCCCAGATTCAGCAGTTGCGAAGCTACTTCGTAGAAAGCCAGAACCGTCACGAAGTCTATCGTGCTGTTTGTCAGGCAGACCACGGGTTCAGCGCCCTGCATCTGGCGCAGGACGACTACCAGTTGAATTATGACCTAAAAACTGTCGAAGATAAAGGCGCATCGTGGAAGCTGAAGGAGCTGCATGGGACGCATCCCCATCAATTGGAACAAGCGCATGTCGACAAAGTGGCGTCGAATATGTGGCTGGTGCGAGGTGAACTTTTCTCAGAGACTGAAGGTTTCATGGTAGCCATCCAGGATCGGGTTATTGCGATGAAGAACTACCGTAGGTACATATTGCACGAAGAAGTAGAAGACCGGTGTAGAAAGTGCAATGCAGTAGAAGAGACGATCGAACATGTTGTTGCTGGTTGCCAAGCGTTAGCAGAAGTAGCGTATCTCGGTCGTCACAACGATGTCGCTAAGATTGTGCAGCAACAACTTGCACTGAAGCACAACTTGGTGAACCAGTACGTACCCTACTACAAGTACCTGCAAGACCCGGTACTGGAAAATAGTTGCATAAAACTGTACTGGGATCGCGAGATAATTACGGATGTCCACATTCGTGCCAATCGCCCTGACATTGTGGTTTACGACAAAAGGATGAAGCGGGTAACCCTTATCGATATCGCTGTACCGTTAAATCGCAATATTCAGTCAACGTTCTCGACCAAGATACTGAAGTACCACGATTTGACGGAGGAGTTGAAGCATATGTGGCACCTCGAGGATGTGCGTATAGTTCCGGTAGTAATCTCGGCGACCGGATTTGTTCCCCGTACCCTTATACGTTCCCTTGAAGAGTCGGAACTACAAAGAGAACTGAACAGCATTCAGAAAGCAGTGATTCTTGGAACCTGTAGTATTGTCCGGTGGTTTCTGTATCATCATGACTGATCCGACTGAAGCAAAAAAAAATTAGGATGTAAGTCAACTGACGAATGAGATCCACAGAGCCTAACCCCCTTGGCATAAAGACAGCTCGTGGTAGGTGAAATTTTCCAGCATTTTTGCTGAGAAGTGTCTAAAACTCTATAATAATAATAAAAGTATAAACATGTAAAAAGCATACGCAACGGATTTCCCAGTCATTTGGAAGCGTCAGACTTTTTGTTGACACCAACGAAGATGACGATGAGTACGAGCAGTGCTGCAAAATATCGACAATAAACGGTGATATTTACAATTCTGCTTTGGTCACTCATTTGAGCTAACAGTCATAGTCAAGGCTAGAGTCGCTGTATCATGAGTCACGCCAAGAGAAAAACAGTTGAACTCGCATCAAGGTTTTCGAAATATTCCCTTTCTTTTAACTTGGCAACAGAGGACTTATACATCAACTTCAAATGACTTCTAGCGAGAAAAAATAATAGCGGCTGTAGTAAATCATTATATCAGTGATTATGTCAAATTATTTTAACAAAAAATAGTAGACATGCTCATTAATGATCATTTCCAAACGTATCCCATGACAATTGAATGCTCACTGCGTGTTTATTATCATTTATTCGATTATATTTTATATTTGATTGCAATACCTTTCGTGGACCTTCCATAGCATCTTAATGTTTGTTTTCTTTGCACGATAGGTAGCTGGTTTGATAGTTCGATAGGTAGACTTGGCTTCACTCTTGGCGTGACTCATTATACACCGACTCTAGTCAAGGCAACTATGTCAATTGTCAATGACAATACTGTCAGTGACGAACATGTGTAGATTTTTATATAAGCTAAATTTGATACGAAATTAAATGACTTAAGCAAAACAATTACATGGATCCGTTAAAGTGAACAAGCATCTACGTCCTGAACTATTTGGAAAACAATAATGTGACACAGAATGTACGAAATTACACTTTTTTGTTACCAGGGGAATCTTTGTCATTGACGAAAAAATGAATGAGATATTGACGAAGGGTTTTTCTGAGGATCAAGTCTGTCAGTGACTATGTGACGAACAATTTTGTCAATATCGCGCGAAAGTCTGTCAATGACAATCACAAACCTCAGCACTGACGATGAGGACTATGATGGTCCAATCGGCACCTTTGACCCAGTGGCGTGCGGGCATAGATAGTGGCTAGGTAATGGTAGTGTTCAAGCTGGAATTTTTCTCCCTCCCCCTATTCCGCGAGTCATGTGACTTTCTGTTACTAGAGAGTCTGTGTAAATCAAATGGAGAGTCACGTCACCAGGAATTGACTTTTGTCACCTAACTTGAGACAGAGAGTCACACGACTCGCAGAATAGGGAGCCCAGATCAGACGAAGATTTTCTAGCAGTATGTAGGTAGTTGATCTCGTCCGGAGGATCGCATCGGATCACAGTTGCTGTCGAAGACTTCAACCAACTGGTCGCGATTGTTGGATTCTTCGTTTGATTAATATCTACAGCTTGTGCACTTGTAAGAAACCGTTGCAAAGGGGAATAGAGACAGAAATGCAACTAATTAAAGGGCTTCTAATGCCCTTTGTTCTGCTGGGGTTGACTTCGCTAGGATATGCATTAAGTGAGTATGGCGAAAGCCACAAAAATTAAATTTAAGAGATTCTTTATTTACCGAATGTTTATTTCCAACAGGTGAAAATGACCCATGTACCAATCCAGCCGGGAAGTTAGGTCGGTGCATCTTCTTCCGTGAATGTGAACCAATATTGAACATCTACCGGAAAACGATCGTCACACCGGAGGAGAGTATATTTATCGATAAAAGTCGATGTGGAAAGAGGACAGATGGGAAACCGCTGGTGAGTTTCAAAATAACGTGAAGAAAATTTCCAAGACTATTTTTCGATGGTAATCCCCAGAAAAGCGGTGTTGAATAGAACGAGACGGTTTGGTTAAAGTATACTGGCTCAGTTCGGATTCCTCGATGCCTTAAACAGCAGCCACACGCATGCTTGGCATGCACAGTTGTACACACCAACTGCTCATTTGGTAATAACTTTTCACTCAGATGTTGAAATTTATTTTTCTTTAAAGTTCTTGATAGCTTAGGCTCATAGTTTACTATAGATATGCGAAGATTAGGTAAAGCTTAACATCTGAATCAACACTAATCAATTTAACACTTAAATTCTGAGATGTGTAGTGAGCATTTCTCACCTCATTTTAACAACGCAAAAACAAATACAGTTTACTACTAGCATTAAAATCTACTTTTTTTTAACATATATATAACAAGCTTACACTCTATTCTATCTACTGTTTCAAAAAGAACTAAGTTCCGTCAACTGTGTGCAAAGTTATTAGCAAATGAGCAGTTCGTGACCAAAACTGTGTATGCCAAGCATGGCCACACGACTTATCAATCCTCAGGGTTTGTTTGTGGAAAAACCAGTGTCCTTGGAGATGTTTTGATCATCATCAATCTTCGCTCATAAACTGCGAATACAAAGCGCGTGAAAGTGTCTGTGAAGTAATCAGGAAGTTTAATGCGATGGGTTGAAGTCTGTTTTGATTCACTTGCACCCTTCCATGCGATTAAAGGCAGTGTTCAAAGATAATATAGAACTGTACTGAAATGTAGACAGCAGATAATACTTTCACAATCAAAGAAAAACTTAATCAAAACCGGTGCCAATACTACACAGATGTTGTTGTGGCATTCATGCACACTTGTAGCGATTTAGTTTATTATTGAGTTCCTACCTGGATCGGGTATCCGGATTGGGTATGCTTGTTTTCTTACAAACGTCAGTCTGTTTCAAAGGTTTTATCTTAATGCATATGCTCTTCTTCTTTTTTTCCCCCTTTTCTTCTTCTTCTTCTTCTTCTTCTTCGCATTTCAAGATTTTATAAGCATATTAGCTTTTTGCGTGCTCTCAACTTAGTGATGCACTTCCCCAGTTATTAATTTAGAGCTTTCGATGCCTGTTCCATTTTTGCATTAGTATAAGTGTGTGGCACTCTCTCGATACTCAGGGATTGCGGGAGATTTTCTATCCCGAAAAATTCCTATACCGGACCGGGAATTGAACGCAGCCGAGTCCGGCATGATCTTGCTTTGTAACTGCGCTTTTACCGACTGAGTTAAGGGATTCCAATGCATATGCTCATCTAAATCACAAATGCCACACATTTACATTCCAGGTGTGCTGCACAGGCGACAGTGGTCGAAAACAAACAACCTCGACTTCGCTCCTCCCGAAGACACCGTTCTGCGGAGCATCACTCGGTGAACGGATCCACGGTGGTCAACCTACCCTCCTGGATGAGTACCCCTGGACCGCCTTGATCGAATACCGCAAACCGAACGGACGAACTGGATTCCACTGTGGAGCCTCGTTGATCAACTCCCGGTACGTCGTAACGGCGGCCCACTGTATTCAGGCGATTCCTCGTAGTTGGACCGTGTAAGTTTGACTATATTCTCCAAATTTTACGGTTACATTTTTTTTTTAATGTTTCACTCAATTGACAGAGCCGGTGTTCGATTGGGTGAGTGGGATCTGGATCAAGAGCGTGATTGTTTGGATGGTGATTGCGCTGATGCACCGCTCAATATGAGCATCGACAAGATTATTGTGCACGAAGACTACGATCCGCAGAGCAAGGCGCAGTATAATGACATTGCGCTTATTCGGTTCACCAGGGATGTCATCATGACGTCGTTCATTTCCCCGATTTGTTTGCCCATCGACAATGCACAACGTTCTCGGAACATCGTTGGTACCAAGGGAATGGCCGCAGGATGGGGTCGAACGGAGAATGGTGGGTTCTTTGTATTTGAAACTATTGTACATATGCTGATGATTTGAATTTCTTAGCCACTACAAGCCATTTGAAGCTGAAGGTTGAACTGGAATTCAAGGAACTGAAGAGCTGTTCCAACACCTACAAACCGTCCGGAGTGATCCTTAGGGATACGCAGATGTGCGCGGGAGGAGTACGTGGCAAAGATACTTGCAGCGGTGATTCTGGTGGTCCTTTGATGAAGCAAATTACAGCAAATAACTACCTGTATGGCATCGTAAGCTTCGGACCGAACAAATGCGGAACCAAGGGCGTACCGGGAGTTTATACCAACGTAGCCAAATATATCGATTGGATTGAGAGCAAATTGGAGTAGGTTTAGTATCCGGAGCATCCATTTTGGAACGCTTCCTATATTTATGAGCAAATATAGCAGTTAAAGGTAACTTTTCCCCCTTGTGGTCAAATGTAAGGAATCCGAATTTTTCTTCTCAAATCAACGATAGCTCGTTCTGTCGGAGAAAATGCTGAACTTCATCAGGACGTCCCTGATTTCCAAGAATTGAAATGAAAGAATTTTCCTGAACTTCGGAAGGTCTTTTCTGAACTTCGGCAGGTCTTCCCTAAACTTCGGCAGGACTTTCCTGAACTTCGGCAGGACTTCCCTGAACCTCGGCAGAAATTCCCTGAGCTTCGGCAGAACTCCCTTGAACTTCAGCAGGACTTCCTTGAACTTCAGCAGGACTTCCTTGATTTCCAAGAATTGAAACGGCAGTACTTTCCTGAACTTTGGCAGAACTTCCCTGAATTTTGGCAGAAAATCTCTAAACTTTGTCCTGCCAAATTCGCTGAAATTCAGCAGAACTTCCCTGAACTACGACAGGACTTGCCTTTACTTCGGCAAATTAGGCAGAGCCTTCGGCATGAATTCCCTGATCTTCGTCAGGACTTTCGGCAAGCCTTCACTGAACTACGGCAAGACTTCGCTGGAGTATTTCAGGAGTAGAATAATTATAATTATTCAATAATATTGTATTTACGAATATGGTCAAAATTTCAATACTTCCCATTTTGCTAATTTGCAATGCTTGTTGGTATTGGAGCATTTTGAATTTGGGTGTGGTTCGAACGGGTGTGGAGTCAATATCAACAGAAAAGCATTAACTTCTACCTTGATGGGGTGTTTACACTTATGCTGATTAATGTGCTGGTGAGCCTGTCGTTCGCAAACCAATGGTTGTTAGCGTGATGTTAACAGTTGTTCGGATTGCTCCAATTTTGGTTAATGACAAGGGGTAATTAACTCTGCACACTATGCCGAAACACATCGGGGCACACTGATCGGCACGTCATGGCACACGATGACAAGTATGATACCAAATATAATGCATAACGGCAACACTGATTTGTGTTAAAATTTTGCCAAAAGTTGCTAAGGTTGCTTTTTACGCGGGTGATACGCCAGAATCCGCGTAAAAAAACCGCGCAAATTCCGAAATCCGCGTAAAAAAAATCTCGTAAAAAACCGTGTAAAAAAACCGCGTAAAAAGCGACTCCAGTGTACTTTGTTTACTTCAAAGTAAGGAGGAAAGGGAAATTTTGTTCCCAGTACCATTGCAATTTTTTTTGTCGATTTTCTAACGAATTGGTCATCGATAATAATTAGATATTGTATAATTGACGAGACACTCCATGTCCGATTGGCTTGTGCCGAACTGGCAAAACACAAGCTGCTGCCTCGCTTCAAGCTTTGCAGCATCGGTACCAAAATCTTGTGCTCCAGCCTGGAGGAGTACAAACAAATAGGATGTTTCCTGAAGGACAACAACGTGGACTTCTTCACGCATGATCTGCCATCGAGCAAGCCACTGAAGGTGGTTTTGCGTGGCTTACCGTCGTTCGAAGCGGTTGCGGTGAAATCCGAGCTGGAGCGACCGGCGTTCCAACCACAACATCAGCTTCCGTGATCAGTTGTTTCTGGTGCACTTCACAAAGAGATCCACCAGTATTGCGACTCTGAGATCCAAAATTCGTGACCTGTTTCAGATCATCATCAGTTGGGAGCATTAAAAACCTCAACATCGTGTTGTTACGCAGTGTATGAACTGCCTCTCCTATGGCAATGGCACCAAAAACTGAAAAATGAAGACAATCTGCGGCAAGTGTGCTAGAACTCACTCAATTGCGTCCTGTGAGCAAGTTGATGACATCGAGCCAACGTGTGTCAACTGCGGTGGAAACCACCAAGCCTCCAATCGCGGATGTCCCAAGCGAGTGGAGTTCATTAATATCCGTCGGAAGGCTACAATCAACAACCAACTCGGTCGCCTCCGTAATCATCGTTCACCTCCTATACTCACGGAAGTCCAGTACCCAGCTCTCCAGCCCCGTCGACATGTTCCGAACCTAGCACCGCTTCCGCTTAACAACCAACAAGCTACTGCTGCAGCCCAGCCAATGCCAGGTTCATCCACCGCCCCTGGTTTATCATACGCTGGTGCTGTCTCGGGTGAATCTGTCGACGATTCTCCGTTCGCCTCGGAGGTACTTGTGACGCTCGTGGCCGAGGTCATCATCATCAAGCGCACATGCATGACTCGATCTGAACAGCTACATGCTGCCCTATCCCTTGTCACTAAGTATGGACCGTGAAGCTATCAAGATCGTTAATTGGAATGCTAGCTCATTGAAGAGCAAAAACATCGAGTTTGTTGACTTTCTCAACGAACGGCACATTGACATAGCCGTCATCACCGAAACTCACTTGAAGCCCGAGCTGAACGTCTTCCGTCCCGACTTTCGGCTCGTAAGACTTGACCGCACCAGCTCCGTGGGAGGGGGAGTGGCCATCGCTGCGAGACGGAACATCAGCTGCTGGCTACTACCAAGCTTCCAGCTGAAAATTATCGAAGCCATCGGAGTTGAGGTGAGCACATCGCTTGGTCCAATCACCATCATTGCGGTCTACTGCCCCAAGCAAACCAACAGTAGGGACGGCTCGGCCGCAGATCTCCGAAGAGACATCATCAAGCTAACACGACGGTGGCAAAATTTCGTCATCGCTGGCGACCTGAACGCCAAGCCGGCGAAACCAGAACGGCACAATCTTATACAACGATCCGCAGGAAGCCCACTACAACATCCTGTGTCCGGACACTCCCATCCGGTTGAGTCGATATGGAGCTCATGCCAACATCGACATCTTCATCAGCAACATTGGCGATAACATCTCTCAACCTATCGCCAATCAGGAACTGAGCTCGGACCACTATCCGGTGGTGGACGAAGTTGGTTCCTCGGCCAATAGGTTTCAAGTTTCCCGGCGAAATTACCATCGTGTCAACTGGCAGCAGTATCAGTGCTGTGTGGACACAGCAATCGATTAAGACGTCCTACCGGAGTCGTTCGAAGAAGTCGATCAATGTCTGCAAACCATCGAAGAGGCGATATCCCGTGCCAGGGAGCAACACGTACCAGCATCCAGACAGGTGATTGATTTATTTTCTCCTCTGTTCGGGACATAAAACTACTGCGACCAGTAATTTGATCTATTGTAGTATATCCCGTGTCCTTAGTTTAGTGCATGTCGTATTACTTCATCACTATTGAAAAATGATGAAGTATTAGGTTTTGATACAGTTGTCATTCTTGCCTTCATCGCAAGGAATCGATTCTAATTGGAAGGTTCCGCTATTAAATACCCTTCGGAGTGTTGGAACACCCTCCAAAGGCGCGCCCCTTTGTCAGTCAAAATTGGATTCCTTAGCAACAAAATTAAGGAATGACACCGATAGTGACCATGCATCAGAACCCTAGTCTTAACCACTTCAAACTAAGGAACAACGAATAGAAGATTAGGAATCACATAGATGAAGACTAACTAACTCATTTTTCCTTGTTTCAAGATCATCCTCGGTCCAGGCAACCTGAGGACTTATCACTATCAACAAGGCATAAAAAGTAACAAGGACTAAGATGTGTTCCTTTGATTACTGAAAAATCCTGTTCCCCTAGTTTGAAGTAGTCGAGACTAGGAATCGGTGGTAGATCTTACATCCCGTAACGTACCACGAAAAGGTGATCTACCCACGTTACGGGGTGGTTGATGCTCTGAACCTTGACAGCCCAACCAAAGATCTTATCAGGCTACGTAACACCATTCGTAGGCAGTTACAGCGTTCTGTGCTGCCCCATTTGAAGACCAATGTCAATAGGCTAATCAAAATTATCCAGGCCAGGATGGTGGAGCTCAGAAATAACGATTTTGCCAACAAGATTCGCTCTCTCCCAGGTTGTGCAGAACCATTTTGGAAGATGACCAAAATTTTGAATATTAAGTCGAGACCGATCCCACCGCTTTCCTCTGTTGACCAGAACTCGGACCCATTCCTACTCATAACCCCAGTTGAAAAGACTAATGCTCTTGGCCAACATTTTGTGGTTTCACATAATCTTGGCCAAACCATGGTGAGCCCCCATGGGTCTGCCGTACTGGAGGCAATGTCTAGACTCTAGAGTCGGTGATACCCCCGTAGTAAAGGGCGAACACGAAATTATTGCGACACATTCAACAGGGCATAACTTTTTTACCATTGGGTAAAAATCAACCAAATTTTGCACACTTTCTCATTGATGTGTATTGTGTACATGCTGTCAAACTCTAAGTCGTGTTTTTCGATTCAACGAAAATGGAGGTGAACCAACGCGAGTTGAGAGAACAAATTCTTTCCAAACACCGTCAACCGTCTCCAGAGTGTTGAAGCGGTTCCAGGAGCGGTTAACGTTTGACCACGGCAAAGGAGCTGGAAGAAAACCGGGACCGGAGAACAAAAAGACGGAGGGAAAGGTGAAGCGGATGATTAAAGGGTGATACGGTCAAAATTTGGTCAAGGGAAAACGCGTGTAAATCGGTGAAATCTTTTATTTAAAAAATCAAATTAAATTTCTTTTTCAAGTTCAATTAGTATAAAATTCAGGAAAAATATTCAGTTAGGCTTCCGCTTTTCCAAATCCGAATTGCCGGGCCTTACGCTTGACCCCTGCCATCAGATTTTGTACAGCCACCTTGTCCACCTTCTTCGCCGCAGAAAGCCAGTTTGCCTTGAACTGCTGCTCGCCCTCAGCAGTTTTTTTGGTCTTCTTTAGGTTCCGCTTGACAATAGCCCAGTATTTCTCAATTGGGCGGAGCTCTGGCGTGTTGGGAGGGTTCTTGTCCTTGGGAACCACCTGCACGTTGTTGGCGGCGTAACACTCCATGGCCTTTTTACCGTAATGGCAAGATGCCAAATCCGGCCAAAACAGTACGGAACAACCGTGTTTCTTCAGGAAAGGCAGCAGACGTTTATTCAAACACTCTTTCACGTAAATTTCTTGGTTGACAGTCCCGGAAGCTATGAAAATGCTGCTTTTCAAGCCACAGGTACAGATGGCTTGCCAAACCAGATATTTCTTTGCGAACTTTGA